AAATATTTGTCACAACAAAAAGACCATCAGCTATGGTGGCTGTGTGGCCCAGCTCATCATCTTCCTGGCCCTGGGTGCTACTGAGTGTCTCCTGCTGGCTGTTATGGCCTTTGACAGGTATGTGGCGATTTGCAGACCACTCCACTATATAGTCATCATGAATCCTAAGTTGTGCTTAAAAATGGTAGCCTTCTCATGGCTCACTGGCTTCAGCAACTCAGTGTTGCAGTCTTCCTTGACCCTTAACATGCCACGCTGTGGGCATCAGGAAGTGGACCACTTTTTCTGTGAGGTTCCTGCTCTTCTCAAGTTGTTATGTACTGACACAAAGCCTATTGAGGCTGAGTTCTTTTTTTTAGGAGTATTAATTCTGCTAATTCCAGTAACATTGATCCTCATCTCCTATGGCTTCATAGCTCAAGCAGTATTGAGAATCAGGTCAGCAGAAGGACGACGAAAAGCTTTTGGGACATGTGGGTCCCACGTAGTTGTGGTGTCTCTCTTTTTTGGAACAAGCATCTACATATATCTACAACCACCTGCATCCACATCTAAGGACTGGGAAAAAATAGTTTCCCTCTTCTATGGGATATTCACACCTATGTTGAACCCTCTCATTTACAGCCTTAGAAATAAAGATATGAAGGACGCCTTCAAAAGGGTGTTGCCAATAATCCTTTTCTATAAGAAATAAGTGCTCCATTGTCATGAGAAACTTCTGTGTCTCTCTTTATCCTTGAAAATTATAGTAAGGTTTGAACTGCTTTTTCTATTGCTCAGGCTCTTACGATTTTATTGAATTGTACCAAGAGCTTAGAAAAATTATTTCTCTGTTCAGGAAGCAATGCTGAGATTGTAACATTTCTTTTCTGAATTCAAAACTTTTGCTTTCCAGAGTTTCCCTAAGGCGCTGTCTTCCTGAGGCCAAGTCATGGGAATTTCCTCCTGTCAATGACAAAAGTAGTCAGGACATGAATGGATTACATTTCCCCTTATATACTCTTTGTTCAAGAACCATCCTGCCAACCACCTAGTTAGGGTTTCCACATGTCTGTAATTATATATCCAGTGAGCCCAAGCAAAAAATATTCCTGACAGCACCCATGTCCTCAGCACTTTACATTTATTTTCACATTCCTTGATAAAAATCCATCATATGAACCTTCCAGAACTGTTCTAAGTATGTAGTCTGTCTCAAACCTAGCTGGCATTAAACTAGCTAAGCATGTGCGTCTTGTACTAGAAACCTGAAATGTCAGTTGAGTTTCATTTCCAACTATTTTATTTATTTTAAAAATGTATAAAGTATAGTCAGTTTACAATGTGATAGTTTCTGTTGTACTGAATAATGGTTCAGTTATATATATACATACACAACACTATTCCTTTTCATATTCTTTTTCATTTTAGGTTATTACAAGGTATTGAATATAGTTTCCTGTGCTATATAGTAGGACCTTGTTGTTTATCTATTATATATACAGTAGTTAGTATCTGCAAATCCCAAATTCCCAATTTATCCCTCTACCCCCACTTCCCTGCAGCAGCATAAATTTATTTTCTATGTCTGTGAGTCTGTTTCTGTTTTGTAATATATTTGTATCACATTTTTAGATTCCACATATAAGTGATACCATATAATATTTTTCTTTCTCTTTGTGGCTTACTTCATTTGATATGACAATCTCCAGGTCCATCCATGTTGCTGCAAATGGCATTATTTCATTTCCAACTATTTTAAATTCATTTTTTATTGCCTGTGGATAGCATTATTCCTTTTTTACCTTCACTTCTCAAATCCATATTTGTCCCAAGTGCTGCCCTAAGCATGCAGAATCTCCTCTAATTCATTATTTATAAAAATGTTAGTAAAAATCATTTTTTCTAATATTGATCTGAATTAATTTATTATTTAGTTAGTAATAAAGTGTTGTTGTTCACTACATAGCACTAGACCAGAGGAAAAACAATCACAATTCCTCTACTGAAGAAATATTCTAGTTCCTGAAGTAAAGTACCCTTTTAAACTCAGACATTTAATTGATTGCAATTACTAATGTAAGGACGTAGATGAGGCAAATTTGAGGCAACACAGAAAGTGTTACAAAACTAAGATTTTAGAAATTACATGTAATTTTAAATGGTTAAAACACAGAGTACAAACACAAACAAATGAAACTGGAGACATTAACTGAAAAGTTTGGACTTTATCCAGTAAACAAGGCAGAGAATGTAGGAGCAGCAGTAGAAAATAACTAAACAGCATAAGTAAAGAATATGGCTCCTACATGATAATCATGGTTTACTAAATATGACATTTAAGATAAATGGGAAAGGGAAAGACTTTAAATATGTGGTACTTTAAAAGCTGGTTTTCTCAACAACAGAAAAAAAGATACGAAATTCAAGACAATGAAAACAATTATATCCCTAGTACAGGTGCCTTTTAAAATTTCCAAACCTGTATATACCATTGCCATCTTTTCTTGAATATATGATAAGGATTTCAAATTTAACACATCCAAAAGCTGACACCTGCTCTCCCTTTGCCACAAAGCCCTCTCCTAAAGCTTGCTATTTTAATGAATAGATTCACCTGCTGTTTACATGTGCAGATCAGAAACCATGAACATTATCCTCTCCATAATTTTCCGTATCAAAACCATTACCAAGACATATCAATCATTCCTCTTTTATACCTCCCATCTCTTCACTTCTTTCTATCTTCACACTCCTGGTACCATTATTCTTTACCTAGACCTAGCTTATTACTCAATCTATCCTTTATGCACTCCTGCCAACTCGCTGTAGTACACCTTGGAAAATACAGCCAGAGTGGCCATTTCAATCCAAATTACAATCATTCCACTCTCACCACTTGCACTAGAGATTATTAGTGGCTTCCACTGCTCATCAGTTAAACACAAATATGCATGTCCCAGACATATAGCCCTCTCTATCTCTTGCACTTAAGATACTTCCTTAAAGCACAGAACATTTGAGCTTTCTGATCCTTCTATCTGGAATACTCTTCCCATCCATCCTTACCTAATTACTAATTGCTCAGGCCTCATCTTCTACTTAGAGGATCTTTTTTGTGGCCTCCCTGATTCAGTCAAATACTCCAAATTTACTTGTTCATCATATACCTCTCATTTGTGGCACTTGGACTGTAACTGATCACTTGATAAATGCCTTTACCTACTACTAGACTATAAGTTCCTGAGCATAGGAACAAAGTTTCTTTTTGCTTACCAAAGCATTCACAACACTTTTGGAGGCAGAAGGTTAAAACACCAAGATGTCAAAACTATGCATGATGTTAGTTAATATGTAAATTTTCACTTTTTCTGTGAAAAGAATTTTCAGAGATGTGAAACTCTGGGGCTGGGAACAGTGGTCATATGAAATTCCATGACAGGATATAAACTTAAGTTCTCAAAGGCTAAAGAAATTATATTTCTCACCTCACACCAGTCAGAATGG